AGAGAGAGAGAGAGAGAGAGAGAGAGAGAGAGAGAGAGAGAGAGAGAGAGAGAGAGAGAGAGAGAGAGAGAGAGAGATTGACGACACTTGGGGTCTGGACTCGACATTGGGCAGAGACATTGGGGGGACTGTTTGGGATGGATATCAGCGACATTGGAGTTGACGACATTCTCATCTCTTCCCCCTTCTCCTTCGTCTCTTCCCCCTCCTCCTCATCTGTGTATGAGTTAGCCCTGGCACCTTCGTCCTGGTGTGCAGTGCCAGGCCATTCACACCGTGTGATGATGATAATGTATGTCCAGTCTGCATTTCGACATTGATTGGGTCTGATCATTTGTATTCCAGTCTTCTGTTGTGCTATCCTGCTCTATCTGTGAGAGGTCGGTTCTTGGTTCTGGTCTGTACCATCTCGGTATGCGACATGAAACGGTATTCACCTGCTAGCAGTAGCGAATATAGGTCCCAGGGCTCGATCCCTAGACTTTACCTTACCTGTGTACATTATCTGCGTCGACCCCGAGAGTTGAGCACGTGACCTGTGTATTTGTAACAGTTGGTAGACTGTCGTAGGTCCGTAGGTGGTAGGGGTTCGATCTGTAGACCTATTGGATAGAGGTCTTAGTGAGGCCTAGAGGTCGTAGCTGTAGGTGTCCTGAGAAGTCAAGGTCGTAGCTGCTACAGTCCTGAAAGGTCAAGGTCGTAGCTGCTACAGAGTTCGAAAGGCCAAGTATGCAGCCTTCCGGAAAGTCCTAGTGGTGGCCTTTCGAATTATGGCTCACGTTTAGACAGAGGCAAGTGGGCAAGTGGTGAGCCCAACTGCGGTACGTCGGCAGTGCGACTGCATTGAGTTGGCAGAGCAAACCAATGCAGTCCGCGGTACCGGTCCCAGTCAGTCACAGTCCAGTCAAGCAAGTACCGTGTGGGACTGTGTGCACCAGGGGCATGGGAAAGGGGCAGACCAACGAGCTACGGAAGTCAGCTCCCAGCCATTCATTCATTTCCTGCGTAAGCCATGCGGAAGCGCTGCCACAGCGACTTGTGCGAGGTGGTCTGCAATGAGCCCGAAGACGAAGTGGGCGAGAAGGAGGGCTTAGCCTTAGCGATAGGTGTAGTAGCGGCCATAGCCGCCATAGCTGATAGGAGGGTGTAGTATGTGTGTGAGTGCGTGTGTGTACAGTGTGACACGTGTGGGATATCCAGGGTGATCCTGTGTGTGTGAACAGCAGAGTTGGGTTGGCGACGAACATAGAGTTGTACGGGCGCTCTTGTGCCATAGCCGTTTGAAGTGAGCTTGTATCTGAACTGCGCTCTTGGTTACCATATCTCTGAGTTCTGAGTGGGCGCTTGTCGCCAGTTTGCTGCGCTACCTGTTTACATGCATGTGAGCTGATTGCAGACAGGTATACAAGGAGGCTGCACTTTCCATGTACTGGCTGCCGACAAAGACCAGTTTTATTTGTGTGTGCGCGAAAGAATCAGCTTCGGCAGTTTAGGGTCCGCCAAACTGGTGCTCTAATGTTGTTTGTTTAGCCTTTCAGAAACTAGATGACGGAAAGGAGTTAAAGGACAGTATTTGTTGCAGCAGCTGTTACTAATATGCAGGTCCTGATGTTATATTTTAGGGAAAATTACATCTATGCCCCATTTAAAGATGGGAATACCAGCTATACCCAGCCCGGGTGTCCAACTTACATCATTACCCGGAAAATTGTCTGCGCAAATTATTTGTATACCCAGGACGGAGGAGGGCCAAGGTTGGCAAATTATGTGGTTCCTGAGCATAAGCATAATTTTGTTCTCTCCAACCAAGGGCCTGTGGGACTGGGTATGCGTATAAGTTGGCGGACAGGTAAAGTAGGGTATTACTTTAAGTTGGACAGGGTCTGGGTATAGGTGCAAGCTGGGCGCTCAACTGGGTATAGCGGGTCTTCCCATCTTTAAGTGGGGTACGGATGCAATTTTCCCTATGTTTCAACCCACAGTGTTTTGCGGTTAGGAAGTGTCTGTGATGGTATTTAGTATCCTGGATGGTGCGCATTTCGGATGGCACTTGCATGTCGGGATTATCAGAAGATGTAAAAGTCTTGCGTTCGCTTGATTGTCTGTGTGCGTCTTTCATCTGCTTAGAGACCTACTGTGCTGTGACAAGCACTGAAGTTGTTGTCCAATGCAATGTACCATCTGCTTGTAGACCTGGTCGAGAAGCTAGCTGCTTTGTCGGCAGCAATGTGAAGTTGCATAAGCTGTGTTTGCCAGTCTGAATCATCCTCCTGTGAATTGCTTTGCAGCGCATGCATGGTATTCTGCTACTGCTACTTTTCTAGTGTTCTCTCAGCAAGCTGGGCACTTTCTTTTTGTCGTTCCTCCCCTACCACTTCCCCCCTCCCTCCCGCCCTCTTTTCCATGCTGTGGTACACGATCTAATTTGCAAGAGCAGGAGAGCAAGGAAGCCATTGAGTGATTTGACAATGTTACTGGTGTGATTAATTGGCAGGTAACAGAGTTGACTCCGGAGGAGACGGAGAGCACAACTGGTGGATATGGCAAGAGTATCAGCCATGTCATTATTGGACTGAAGACAGTGAAGGGCACGAAGCAGCTCAAGCTGGACCCAACCATCTATGACAGTCTAGTCAAAGAAAAGGTAAGGCATGGTCATCTCCCTTGCATCAAAATGCAAGTGAAGTGTCAGTTGCAGCGGTCTCTGCGCATCCCTTCACAAAGTTCTAAGTTCATCCAGATCCTTGTTTAGAAACACCCTAGACTCCTCCAGGACTTGTTGAGGTGTTATTCGGCGTGTGCTCCCACCCTCGTCAAATTGTTCGACATTAATCTGTGTGTTTACCAGTCTGGACCTGCTGCTTGCACTTCTCTCGTTGACAAGTTGGTTCATTGCAAATAATTCCCAATTTCTTTAGTGGGTTTTCAATTCATTGATTGTCCATCAAAGCAGTGTATGTGCCTTCCATCACGTACCGGCTCATGGGGAAGGAATTGAGAGCAGCAGCTCTAGACTGCTAAACACATATGAATGTAAAGGCGCCCTTGCGTGCCTGGCCTGCACTCACCTGTAATCCTTTTTTTTTTTTTTTTCCCCCTGGGAAGTGGAGAAACCGATTCTTTGTTCGGAATCTCAACTGGAGGCAATCCATGCCTATGCACCCCTCCTGTCTTCCTAGGTGCCTAGTAAACTGCACAAAAAATATGCTATACATCAGACGACTTTCCAGCTCGAGTAATGACTAAACCTTCTCTCCTTCCAAGCCTTGTGACGGTTGACTTCTCATCAGGAAATTCTTGCCCGATGTCATGTTTCCAGCAAGCAGGCTTTCTCTCTCTCTGGTGAGTCTCTTCTAGCCATTGTCTACAACAAAACAACTCTGTCCACAGGAGCTCTTTCTGCATAAGGAACAAGCAACTAAAGTGTAGGATGATGCAGTGCTTACCATCTATGTATCACCCGCGGTCGTGACCGCGGGCCATTTGACCGCACGAAGTCAGCATCCCGACCGCAGTGGGCGACTCCCGCGGCCAAGTGCGGTCGGAAAACCCCGACATTTTTAAATCCTAGGATAATAGGCCAAAAAACCAAAAAAAAAAATGGGGTTGTACCGTTGTAGGTTTTTGTGCGCTCTACAACCGTATATTTTTAGTTTTATTTTTTGACTTCTTTTTTTATTTAAAAAAAATGAAAACCCGAAATCCCTCAGGCAAAAGTTCTTCACTTCATTGCAATCAGACTCGACTTATTCACACTTTTCATGCACGTGAACAGCGCCTCAAACAACTCACTGTTCACACTTTGGATCACCCTGGATGTCCCACACGCAACACTCAGAACACACACACAGTTCACACACTCTACACCCTACACTAAGCTATGGCAGCTATGGCTGCCGCTACCTATCACTACGGCTACCCTGCTCCACTCTCGCCCACTTCGTCTTCGGGCCTTCCAGTAGACCTCCTTGCACAAGACGCTGAAGCAGCGCTTCCGCATCGCTTCCGCCTGAATGAATGAATGAATGGCTGGGCGCAGCCTCTTGGTTTATACTTCTGTGCTGCGTTGGTCTGCCCTGTACCCCTGGCCCATCGTGCACACAGTCCCAGATGGTACTTGCTGGACTGGACCGGACTGGGTGGACTGGGAATGCTGACTGTACTAGGTGGACTACCACCACTTGACCACTTGCCTCTGCCTAACGCAGGCTCACTCCGAAAGGCCACTTCTAGAAACCTCTAACTTGGCCTTTCGGTACTGTAGCAGCTACGACTTTGCCCTTTCAGGTAAGTAGCAGCTAAGACCTTGACCCTTCAGGGAGTCTACAACTACGACCTCTAAACAGTCTAGACTCCTACCCTACAGGTCTACGGTTCGAATTCCTTCCTACCCTGGGACCTACGAAGAACTACCTACCACTGGCGGTCCTACAGGTAGCAGGTTCAAATCTACGGGTTGACGCCAGTACTGTACACAGGTAAGATGGGGAACTAGGGATCGAGCCCTGGGAACTGCATCAGCTACTGCGAACTGGTGAATACCGTTTCACTCCCGCCGGCCTGAATTCGAGGTCCTCCGAGAAAATTTTAGTCCAAAAGCTAGCAGACCCTATAGTTAGTATCCTTGCAGACAATCGTACTATGGTTGTAGAGGAGTATGTAGAGGGAGTCCAGGCGTATTTTCGCCTAGAGAAGGATGGGAAAGTGGAAAAGGTTCTCCACTCCCTGACTCTCCTCGTAGAAGACAGCCTCCCATTCGATATAGACCTGGGTTTGGACTGGGGAGAGGCAGCCGGGGCCACACTCCACTTGAGGGAGCATGAGTGTAGGCTCCCTAGCCCGTCAGGCGATGTCAAGACTGCGCATCTATTCCATGTGTCAGGAGTAGATAACTCCTTGGCACACTGCTGCCTTAGTGCTCCTGCATTTGCACGACTAGTGAAAAAGGAGCAGCTAGAAGAACAAGTCTTTGTAGCCTATGTTAGGCCAGTCACTGAGCCTAAGGAAGAAAAACCTATAGACCCTGCTATTGCCAAGTTGCTGGAAGAATTCAAGGATTTAGCTGAGCCGCCAACAGGAACAGTGCCGCGGCCCATCCAACACCGTATTGAGATAGAGCCTGGCAGTAGAACTCCTAAGGGCGCTGTGTATAGGATGTCCCCGCTGGAGTTAGAGGAGCTCCTTGAAAAGGGTTGGATTAGGCCCAGTTCATCTCCTTTTGGAGCACCTGTCCTCTTTGCCCCCAAGAAGGAGGGAGAGCTAAGGATGTGTATAGACTATAGGGGTCTGAACGCTATTACAGTGAAGAATGCTGAACCACTGCCGAGGATAGACGATCTTCTAGATCGAGTGCAGGGGTGCAAGTATTTCTCTAAGATAGATTTGAAGTCCGGATATCATCAGATAGAGGTTCACCCTGATGATCAGTACAAGACCGTGTTCCGGACTAGATTCAGGCATTATGAGTTTATAGTGATTCCCTTTGGACTAACCAATGCGCCATCAACTTTTCAGCGGTGTATGAATGACCTGTTTAGGCTTTGGTTAGATAGGTTTGTTGTAGTTTATCTAGATGATATCTTAGTGTTTAGTAAGACCCTCGAMGAGCATCAGGGTCATCTCAGCAGGTCTTGGAAAAGCTGAGGGAAGCTAACTTCAAGATCAACGCAAAGAAGTGCGAGTGGGCGAAGACCCAAGTTTTGTATTTAGGCCATGTCTTAGACGGAGACGGCTTCAAGCCCGAAGACAGCAAGATTGCAGCGATTATAGATTGGCCAACACCGCGGACGTTGACAGAGTTGCGGTCGTTTTTAGGCCTAGCCAACTACTATAGGAAGTCCGTGAGGAACTTCTCCACCATCGCTGCGCCCCTTCGCAGATTGCTCAGGAAGGAGACCATCTGGAAGTGGGATAAGGACTGCACGTCTGCTATGAAGAAGCTAAAACAGGCATTAATAGAGTATCCAGTTCTTAAGGTCGCCGATCTGTCCTTGCCTTTTGTCGTCACGACCGATGCTAGTCAATACGACATAGGCGCGGTGTTGCAGCAAGACGATGGCAGTGGTTATAGACTCGTAGAGTTCATGTCCGCCAGGATGCCTTCAGAGAAGGTCGCGACAACTACCTATGAGAGGGAACTCTACGCTCTCAGGCAAGCCTTAGAACACTGGAAGCTTACTAGGTGGGCCGCAAAGATAGATCAGTACGACTTTGAGCCCAAGCCAGTCAAAGGAAAGTACAACGTAGCTGCGGATGCTCTGAGTAGGAGAGCTGATTACTTTGGGGCAATAGTGCATTACCTAGATATCGGGAAGGACGTGCAACAGAAGATTAGAGAAGCCTATGCGCAGGACCCTATCTATAGTAACCTCCTCCAGAGAGTCAAGGAGGCCCCAGAGACTGAGCCGAACTACCGCACTACTGAAGGGTTGCTCTTCGAGAAGACCAATGTATTTGACCGCCTGTGCATTCCCAGTAGTGAAGAGATTCGTAGTCTGATTTTGGGGGAATGCCACGACACAGAGGGTCATTTTGGTTGGCAAAAGACTTTAGCCAATCTGATGCGCGCGTATACCTGGCCGGGAATGAAGAATGACTGCGTAGAGTATGTCCGCAGTTGTAAGGTTTGCCAGCGTAACAAGACTAGCACGCGAGCGCCGTTAGGTCTTCTCCGACCCTTGCCCATTCCAGACCAGCCAGGAGACTCAGTGTCCATAGATTTCATGGACACCCAAGTCAAGAGTAGGCATGGCAAGAGCCAAGTCATGGTCRTAGTTGACCGTTTTAGTAAGTACGCAGTTTTTRTYCCTTTGCCTTCAGAGGCACGTACTGATTTAGTCATACAGAGGTTTTTTGACTGTTGGGTGAGTGAGAATGGAATCCCACTGTCTATAGTTAGCGATAGAGACAGTCGCTTTACTAGCCAGAACTGGCAAGAACTCATGGGAGTATATGGATCTAAGTTGTTGATGTCGTCCGGCCGCCATCTAGAGACTAATGGTCAGACCGAGCAGATGAACAAGATCCTACAGCAAGTTCTGCGCATGTACATTAGGCCAGATCAGATTAACTGTAATGAGATGTTGCCTAAAGTAGCTAGTGCATACAATAACAGCGTACATCTGTCCACTTGTCACACTCCCAACGAACTGCACAAGTCCTTTAGGCCCTGTAGACCGTTTGAAGGACTCAACCGGGATCAGATTCACAGACTGCTGCCCGAGACCAGGGAGTTTGCTGTACAGCACGAGAAAGAACTAGCTACTGTTGTAGAGAACCTCAGGAAGGCCCAGCATAGGATGATAGAGCAAGCGAACAAACATCGTCGCCCTTCACAATTTCAGGTAGGCGACTTAGTCTGGGTCAGTTCTAAGGAGTTTGCACCTGAGGAGAACATCTCGCAGAAGTTACTGCCCACATATAGAGGACCGTGGCCCGTTCTAGAAGTCAAGGGCGGCAAAGATGGACCGTCCTATACTATAGCACTCCCAGCACACCTCCACACTTACCCAGTTTTCCATGCACCAAAGTTGTTACCTTGTCAAACAAGTGCTCAGTTTCCATCCCGTAGATCGATGATCCCACCGGATATGGATGGAAGGTATGACATCGATGATATAGTGGCTGAAGATGTCTTCAGAACTGGAGGTAGGGGTCGTCCGCAGAAACAGTACAAGGTTCATTTTAGTTATCAAGAACCGGAAGACGATCGCTGGTTTACGGGATCTGAACTTCTAGAGACAGCTCCCGATATAGTCCGGGCCTATGAGAGACAACAGCGAGGTAAAGGTCCTGCCGTGGACTAAAATTTTCTCGGAGGACCTCGAATTTAGGCCGGCGGGAGTGAAACGGTATTCACCAGTTCGCAGTTGCTGATGCAGTTCCCAGGGCTCGATCCCTAGTTCCCCATCTTACCTGTGTACAGTACCGGCGTCAACCCGTAGATTTGAACCTGCTACCTGTAGGACCGCCAGTGGTAGGTAGTTCTTCGTAGGTCACAGGGTAGAAGGAATTCGAACCATAGACCTGTAGGGTAGGAGTCCAGACTGTTTAGAGGTCGTAGCTGTAGACTCCCTGAAGGGTCAAGGTCTTAGCTGCTACTTACCTGAAAGGGCAAAGTCGTAGCTGCTACAGTACCGAAAGGCCAAGTTAGAGGTTTCTAGAAGTGGCCTTTCGGAGTGAGCCTGCGTTAGGCAGAGGCAAGTGGTCAAGTGGTGGTAGTCCACCTAGTACAGTCAGCATTCCCAGTCCACCCAGTCCGGTCCAGTCCAGCAAGTACCGTCTGGGACTGCTGACTGTACTAGGTGGACTACCACCACTTGACCACTTGCCTCTGCCTAATGCAGGCTCACTCCGAAAGGCCACTTCTAGAAACCTCTAACTTGGCCTTTCGGTACTGTAGCAGCTACGACTTTGCCCTTTCAGGTAAGTAGCAGCTAAGACCTTGACCCTTCAGGGAGTCTACAGCTACGACCTCTAAACAGTCTRGACTCCTACCCTACAGGTCTAYGGTTCGAATTCCTTCTACCCTGTGACCTACGAAGAACTACCTACCACTGGCGGTCCTACAGGTAGCAGGTTCAAATCTACGGGTTGACGCCGGTACTGTACACAGTTAAGATGGGGATTTAGGGATCGAGCCCTGGGAACTGCATCAGCTACTGCGAACTGGTGAATACCGTTTCATTATTCTTTTAGTAAGAAAAATGAAGGATTTTGTTTGTTTTTTTATCTCAAAGTTGTTCACTTTATTTTTTGGCATAACATATATTTTTTTCAGATTTTTCTGAATTTTTTTTTTCAAGACTGCGGACCTCGGTCATGACCGTGGCCTCGCGGCCGAGACCGTGGTCTGCGGTCGTGCCCGCGGCGACCGCGACCGCGGGGGATTCATAGCTTACCAGGAGTATGTCTAATGCTGTCGCTTCTGATACACAGGGTGGGAGGTTGAGGTTCCATGGGTTTGGTTGTTTGGAGATGAAAAGCGGTAAGCTCTTCTATTGAAAGGTCTGAAAGTGAATTGGATGAGCAACTAAGGACATGCGCCAGTATTTTTTATGGACGGACCGCAGTCACAGCAAGATTCTGTCCAAAAAGTGTGATTGTGACGTAATACTTAGCTGTGATGGAATGGATGTATGGCATTTTTTCTTGATTATATATCACTATCTAAACAACCTTCTATAGTTTATTGGCCGCAGGCTCCTACCCTGGTGGTTGAGGCCTTTCATGATCGTCTGATCGTGGTAGGGGCGGTCTAGATCAGTTCTAAAACACTGTGTTTTGACGACACCTGGTGTTGCGATTCAGGATGGGCGGATCGTGGGGAGCCATGGATCTGTATCACAGAGCAGAACAAGTGTGGAATGTGTGATAAGATGTGTCAGTGAGTGTCATATCAAGCACGGTTGAAGTCATCCTTGAATGAATGTGGTCGCTTTTCTTCATTTCGTGCACTTGGAAAGAGGGAAAAATGAAAAGTGCTGAATTTTTGTCTGACAGTTTGTCTGGCATCACGACTTGCTACGCTGCGTGATCGAGGACGGGAAAACAATGTGCAACTGGCAAGCGTGGTGATCCAATGATTGGTCACTCGGTCATTATGTAGCTCAATTGCAGAGCTGATTGGTAGTTTTCTCTTTGTATCATCCCATTATACTTGACTGCACGTTCATCATGAGCACGTTTCCACAACCCTCACGGTCTTTATTTCCCTTTACCGTGTTTATGTGCTATTAGAGGGTCTGCTCTGCATGTGTCATTTTCCTGAAAAAGCCCTTCACTGTCCCTTGTGAGTCAGAGTAACTCCATCGGCGGGCACTCACCTACTTTGTCATGCGGGCGAAGCGGCACTGGGCCTTCTTGTTTATGTTCGTATGTGTATGTTAATACAGTAGACTGTTGTGTATCGGCACATCATTTCTCTTGCCGATAGTAAACCAAACACAAATGTTATGCATATGCAGGTTGCTAGCTCATGCGGACTAGTCCGATGAAGTTTGTTAGGCAAAGCCTGTGCGTCCAACTCTGTAGAGAAGAGTACAATGACATAGAAATATGTGGGAGAACCCAACCCTCACTATGGGGCATGATGATGTTGCTGTTGTTACTTTATGAAAAGTTACATACGGCTATGGTGGTGTCTTGTTTGCTGAGGCACAAAAGCTTGTCTGCAACTTGGTGAACAAGAGAGCCACTTGATGTATGGGGTCCTAGCTCTTGGATTGACCTTTCTTCTGAGTTAAAAGTGCTGTTTCTACGACACCTGAGAGTGTCCTCCTTGCTCGTCTCTTGTGTCTTGCTGCTACTGTGATTGCAGGTTGCTGTTGGAGATGTAATATACATTGAAGCAAATAGTGGCGCTGTAAAGAGAGTTGGGAGATGTGATGCCTTTGCAACGGAATTTGACTTGGAGGCTGAGGAATATGTGCCACTTCCTAAGGGAGAAGTACATAAGAAGAAGGAGATTGTACAGGTCAGTTTTTGTATGTAACATTACCCACAACCTGATCCCATATTAGGGCGTTTTTGCATAGTGGCCGGGGAAACTTCTCCCTGCTGTGTGTGTGTGTGTGTGTGTGTGTGTGTGTGTGTGTGTGTGTGTGTGTGTGTGTGTGTGTGCGTGTGTGCGTTCGGGGGGAGGAGAGGGAAGGGGGGGTTACAAGGAGATGTCTGCACGCGTGTGCGTTTGTTTCTCGTATGCATCCATAAAACAGATGGAAAGGACGGGCCCTCAAATGTCGACTCCATGACAAGTGCAAGATGGTTCCAGATGTGGGGTTGTGTGTGTGTGGAAAGAGAAAGGGCTCCTGATGCTGTCTGGCCCTGGCTTTCCTTTCCCAACTTTTTTCCATCCCCCCAGACTACAGAAATCGCTAATGTCATAAGCCTGTGATCTGGGCTGCACACCAAGGGCCACCCCAGAAGTGCAGCCACCTGAATTTGTCGGTGATCGGCTACGATTCTGGGCTGTGTGCCGGTATGCGGCCCAAATTATGTGCTGAACTTGTGAACCGGCCAAAGGTCTTTGGGAACCAGTTGAAGGCCACTGTGGTGTCCGCCCACTACTGTAGAGTATCTCCTAACACGGTACTCTTCTCTCTCTCTCTCTCTCTCTCTCTCTTTTGCATGTGTGCACAAGCATACAGTCTCTTTGTTGAAGTGCAACATGAGCTTCAATGAACTTGGACTCGTTAAGATTGGTTGGGGGGGGAGGGAGGGAGGGAGAGAGAGAGAGAGAGAGAGAGAGAGAGAGAGAGAGAGAGAGAGAGAGAGAGAGAGAGAGAGAGAGAGAGAGAGAGAGAGAGCAACCAGAAATGCATCATACATTTTATTTTGATTGCATGGGGAGCAGCAACAGCTCGTCTAGTGCCCTTTGTGATTCACAGTGATAAGACCATGTGTGGCCAGAGAATGCAACATAAACCAGGAGCATTGGACTTGTGTTGTTCGTGCAATTGTCCTGGCCATGCATGGCCATATAGAACGCAGAATAAACCACGAACATTGAACTTCTGCTGTTTGTGCAATTGTCTTGACCATGCATGGCCATAGAGAATGAACCATCAACCAGGAACATTGATCTTCTGTTGTTCGTGCATTTGTCCTGTGTGGCGTTTGTTTTTTGAACATGTAGTAGGATTTCTCAACTTCAGAAATTCATGCCGTTTGTTGTTTTCCTTCTTCAGGATGTGACGCTCCACGACCTAGATTCCGCAAATGCAAAACCACAAGGAGGTCAGGATATTCTTTCCATGATGGGGCAGCTTATGAAACCAAAGAAAACAGAGATTACTGAAAAACTTCGTCAGGAAGTGAACAAGGTGAGGATGAAAACAGGTGGTGAAGTTGGTTTTGTTGTTCGAGCTGTCCTGGCATGGATCTTGTAAGGGAGGGAGTGCTGTGGGGGGAAGTTGACGTCCTGCGATTCCTGATCTGGAATGGATTGCAAGCAAAATTCCATGGCATAGATTGAACTAATGAGACCATGTTGAGAGTGCGTGCTGTTTAAAAAAAAAACAATGGGCCGGAGACGTGCGTAAGGATATTAACAGTCTTGGTGCAGTTGGAAGGAACATGTGGGAGCCATCAAAAGAGGTGATAGAATTGACTTTGTTGTTTGAGCTTTCCTTGCATGGATTTTGTAAGGGGAGCGTCCTGGGAGTCGGGATGCTGCCATTTCCGATCTGCAATGGATCGCGAGTGAAATTTCATGACGTAGATGAACCAATGAGCCTATGTTGCGAGTTCGTACTCGGGCAGAGGCGTGCGTGTATTAGGACCTTAACAGTTTTGGTGCAGTTGAAAGGAAATTGTGGGGGCCATCAAAACAGTTGATGGAGTTGGCTTTGTTGTTTGACCTGTTCTCGCATGGAAATTGTAAGGGAGGCTCTGGGGCGTTGAGACGTGGCCATTTCTGATATGGCATGGATTGCAAGCAAAGTTTCTTGGCATAGATTGAACTAATGAGACCATGTTGAGAGTTCGTGCTGGGGCAGAGGCGTGGGTAAGGATATGATGGACAGTTTTGGTGCAGTTGAAGTAAATTCTGTGGGGCCAACACAGTTATAAGCGGCACGAGGGGGAGGGATCTTTTGGGAGCGGTTTCCTAAGGTTGTTACAGACCCATCTTTATCCTTTCAGAACTCAAGGACATCCTGACATAACCCATTGACATGTTTTCTGCAGGTTGTAAACAGGTACATTGACACGGGTGTGGCTGAGCTGGTCCCGGGTGTTCTGTTCATTGACGAGGTGAGAAACACTTGCTGTTGCCCTTTCAAAATGCAGAAATGCACTTTTTTTTTTTTTAACAGTCCTGGCTGCATTCCACCATCGGCAAGAGTAATCACAGAGTACAAGATGAACACACTCAATGCTTCCTTCAGTCTCAGCCGAATTAACGGTCCTGGCTCCTTGTCCATTCTCCACGGCCTCCATCCTCCTCCCTCCTCGGCCTCCATCCTCCTCCCTCCATACTCGTCGTCGGCTTCCTCTTCCTTGATTCCCCATTTTTTCCCCGGGCGATGTAGCAGCCCCACATCCCCCTTACTCCGCCTCGCTTCTCCTCGTTGATCCTTGTTGTTCCTCCTCATCCCTCCTGCTCCTCCTCCATCTGCCGGGGCGGCTTCGCAGCCTCCCTTAACCCCCACTCTTTGCCTCCTGCTGCTGCTCCATCCGCCGGGGCAACTTCGTAGCCCCCCTTAACCCCCGCTCCTTGCCGCCTGCTGACGACACCCTGACATCCCTGCCCGTCCCACAAGCCTCAAATGCCCTGGCGTGCTTTCCCATGGCTACGACTTTCAGGAGGGGAAAAAACGACGGTGTCGGCAGTTGTTTTCGTCCCAACCCGATTGAACCCCCACCTGTGGTGGGATGAGGCTGTGAATCTCTCAGGTTCTTCTAGAAGATTCAGATCCCCCTAAAAAAAAGCGCCTGACTTTTGTTTAGCCTCTTTCCTGTTCTCAACCTGCTATGTACTTGTATTCGAACATTTTCCGACAAACGCTACCCTGGTCGCATGCGGCCAATCTGACATATCAAAGATTTCATGCTTCGCTAGGCGCAGGAGCTCGCTCCCCGTGGGACATTTACCCAACACTTGGAGCGAGACCTTGTGGGGCCGTTATGCAAAGCCCAGCTTCTAGTGTCCAACATATGGACGTTATAACCTATTTGCCTTTTTGTAATCTTTAAATTTCGTTTCTTGATTGTTGTGAATTCGTGTCATGCCTACTGATTGTTTTCAGCACAAACCTCCCACCCGCTCTTGCACCCTTAATATCATAAGTTAAACACAATCAATTCCTGCCACTCCTCTAATGTTGCTCTTGAAATTTGGGTAAACGGATGATCTAAAATATCCAGGTGCACAGTCCTGTGCAAGGAAATGAGCAATGTGAATAGCAATAAACCAAGTTGCGGCATTTCACAGACGACCAGCCATTGGTCTGTTGAAAATGAAAGCCTTTCCAACGCCTCCCAATCACCAGTACAACGACAATGTAGCCCTCCTACAGGTGGCCATTCCGCCAACTCGACCTCCCACAGCTCCTGTCCGACTAGCTTATTTATGTTGGCAACTGGTCCATCTAAATGGCGCTTGAATGAGTCTGATCGAACACCCTGCCTTCGTCTACACCGGGTACATGCCTCGTCACACTGCCTCTTTCTCCTCCCCACTTGATGTTCCACCAAGGAGCTCCGCCACTCCACCACTGGCTATGGAGTGAGCAGCCTGGCTATGGCTGCCGCTCTCCCTTCATGCACCTTGCTGCCACCACTCAGCTTCCTTGGGCGCAAGCGTTGAGCAGCTGCTCAGGCACCGCTGCCGCATTGCTTGAATGCCTGAATGTCCAATGCAGGGCGCCCTCCAGTCTTTTGTGCTGACTGGAGAGGCCGAGGGCGCTGAGCCCAGGCTGTACCCTGTCCCAGTTTCTTGCGCCCCGGGCCTTTCCAGAATCTGCGTGAGGCCCAGCATCTTCAACTAACTCGTGGGCTGGGCCTACCAGTTAGTTGAAGATGTGCTGCATGCATGCAGCAACCACTCAGGGCCCTCATTCTGCTCGCACTGGCCTGATCACAGGCCAGGCCTCATTTTTGCAGAGCCCGCCTTCACTTGGGGTGGGTGGGGACTTTTCCTGACTGACCGATGTGCTGAATCCTCGCTCCTGTGACTCGGTGATCCCATTTTTTAAAATATTTTTTTAATTACAACAACAAAGCCCCTTCTCTTCTGGGGAGAATCACTCCGGTTGCTCATCACCGGCAAGCGAGTTTTGTACACCCATCAAAGGAAAGGGGGAGAATAGACAAGAGGAAATCAGCGGCCAACCCTTGTGGTACTAGACGCCTATCAAGGAGGGACTACTACAGAACGTCCCATCCCCCAAGCCTTGGCCTTTCATAGGGGGTTGGCCTGCAGGCCGGGAAGCTTACTGGCAGCACCCAGTCACGCAGCAGGTCAAAACCCAGAGGGGCCAGGCACGAGGGGGGCGTCTGTGGTAGTTCGTCAAGCCGTCTGCCAGCCTACTGATTTCCTAGCTCTATCGCCTTCATAGTCTGTACCATCCCTATTTCGGATTTCCCCTTCACTACTACCGTCTTCAGCCAAAAATAACGCTTGGGCGTTTTATTCAATTTACTCTAAAAAGATGAGATCTTCTTTTTTACTCACTTTTTTTCAAATAGAACGCCCCTTTGAATAGAACTCCCGGGTGTTGTATTTGAATGTTCCATGGGCAGAGTATACATGGGTTTTAAAGGGCGGGGAAGGGGGGTATACATGGGTTTTGAAAAGGGTCGAATGGGTTTTTGACTTCCAAGGGGTATGTTTTGGCTTGAATTTTTCTTTTTCCGAGTTTTACAAGGAATTCTGAAGTGATCCTCAGCCAAAAGTTGGTCGCATTCCAATCCTGGACAACATTTTTTTTTTTCCAGAATTTTTTGATTTATTTATTTTTCCGGAATTTTGGGGCCTCACCAAAGTTACCACAAATTTACTGAATATAACGCCCGGGCGCTATAAACAAATATAGTGCCCGGGCGTTATAAACAAATATAACGCCCGGCGGGTGTTATATTTGTACACAACACCCGGTCGTTATTTTCAGGTGAAGACGATAGTACCCCGATTCTACTGTGTGTTCCTTCCTTGTGCGTTCAAATGTCCCTACCTATCCCTTTGCCCTTGCTTTAGCTAACGTGTCCTCCCCCCTATCACCACACCTAGACCGCTTTAGTACACCTGTCAATCTCCCATGCAAACCCTCTCTAACCCCCTTTACTAGCTATAGTACAAACCGGTTGCCTTGCATAACGTTCCGTCGCCCTATCACTATTCTTTGTCTGTTTCGACCTTCGACCTTTGTTTTTATTTGTTCCCCCCCGCCCCCCCTTTTGTGCTTTTGTCACACTGTCAGACTTTCGTCTTCTTGCATTGAATGGGACACTCCACAACTTCACAATACAAGGATTTCACACTCACGAGTTACAACATTCTCGGTGAGAAGTTAATAACGGTTTATTCATGTGGGCCGTTTCCTGCTTGTAGTACTGTGTGAAAAATGCAAGAGTCGGGGGGATTGTCATTAAAGGGCCAGCAAGTTCATGAAGTGAATTTACCTTGCCAGGTCATTTCGTTTTGTCTTTTTCTCCCTTCGTGTAAATGAAAAGACCCACATTTTTTAAGTGCAAGTCTCTTAATGGCACACGGCATCAGTAGTGATGCAATCAAAGGGATTGACACGTACAGGGGTGTGTGTGTGTGTGTGTGTGTGTGTGTGTGTGTGTGTGTGTGTGTGTGTGTGTGTG